CTGTCATTAAAAGATCTGATACAGGTCACACAGGGGCCAAAAAAGCGGATTTGGGTCACTTCAGGCTGCAGTGTGAACGTAGCCTTAGTTTGGGTGTTTCCTGCGACTTATACTCTGGTGTGACTTATATATTAAAATTTTCACACTGAAGCCATGAGAGGCTCTAGTCTTGTGTGTCAGTATCTGCTGCTCCTGCACCACTGTCACTTCACTCTACTGCGCATGTCTCCTGCAGAAAGAGCCTGTGTCCTGCTGTAAGTAGTGAAATATTCAGCTGAATACGGTAATCGAGCAGCAGAAAGAGACTTGTGAGGGACTGGTGGAAAGCGGGGATGGAGAACACAGCTTCAACAGTTTCATGCAACTTTCCTGAAGTCACTGGATGGATGGACAAAGCCTGGACTTCAGTGACACTGAAACCATCCTGTCGGGATTCAGAAAGACCGAAATAATTCCAACTGGAACTGATGCTGAGTCTGACGACAGCTACACAGAAGAGGAAGCGGTGCTCTGTTTACCTCCGGAGGTCGTGGAGTTGTTCAGAAGTGACACCGAGGATGAAGAATTGAATGGATTTAGTGATTTGGAGTGAGATGGAGAGTTTGTTAAACTTGTTCTGTTCTGTTGTTTATGGTATAGTTTATCTGAAGAACTGTCCATATGTGACGTTAACAGTCTGTTGTTCTCTGTGTTGTGGATTCGGCTACAACTACAATGAAAAAAATTTCTGAGCGATAACTTCAGTTTAAAATGGCTTTACTGAAAAATGTTGCCAGTGTCAAATCATTCATACTTCTGTAACAACTCGCGATGTTCTATCTGACGAGCGAACATGTTTATAACTGTTTATAACTTCTTCAGCTGAGGTTTTCAAAGAACAACATCCTCCTTTGGAATACAGAGAACCAGCGCCATCTATGGGTGAAAATATCTGGTGCTACAACTGAAGGAAAATAATCCTTTTCTGGTTTTAAATAACAAATAAAGCTATTATATAGTCTTTTAAACATTAACTTATTGTAGTCTTGTAATGAATTCAATCTGAATATATTTATTTATCAAACTGTAATTTTAACTCTGTAATAACAAATGAATTAACCATTTGTTTATCTTTTTAACTCTTTTCTCCTTGGACACCTACTTGGAACAACCCATACATATATTAGTATGTATGGGTTGTAGTGGCCCCACCTATCACAGCCTCTGATTACATGAGGGTCTGCTCAAGCGGTAACGGAGGAAAACGGGGGCAGATTTTTTACATTCAAATGTCTCTTATTCAGAAACTAGAGGGACTATTGAAATAAGTAAAGTATTAGAATGTAGGAAAGAGTTACACTCCAACAGGGTCAAGTTAAACCTGTCATATTCTTTCAAGTTGTTGACAAAAAATTAAAAAACTCATGTCGGTAACGGAGGGAATGAAATATGCAGCACTTTTTGGGCAATAAATACTAAACAGTGATAACTCTTGGTTCTCACTTACATATCCTTAACAAACTGGTTTGAATATTTGCTTCATATAGTTTTCTACCATATGGTACAAGATTAGGTTAAAAAACCTCTTACTTTTTGAGTCATGAGATTTTTTATTAAGAAAGGTCATGGTAACGGAGGGAAAAGTAACGGAGGGAAAATTGTGCAAACAAGTAGAAGGTGCAGGATTTTACATAATTTGTCTCTTTTTTCTTCCGAATACTTTAATAATAGGAAACTATTTCTATAAAATATGTCAGTCCTTCCAAGCAAATTTTTATCATTTTAAATACTTTTTTTTTTTTTTTAAATCATGTACCTTCATCAACAGTTCAAAGATCGAATAACACAAGATATGATGAAATACATCCATTTATTTACATGATTTGCAGGTCTGTGAAATTTGGGAACTAATTTTTGTTCCATGTTTCATTCATGGTCTGTTTAAAACATATGTAACTTTAGAACCAAAAATGTTACAGAAAAAAGGTAAACAGTTTCATAAACTAGAGTACATACGTATCTGTTGAATACATTTTTATATCAGATGCATTAACTTGAATTTTTGGCCTTGTTGTTTACTTCTGCTTGACCGGGTCCATCTATAGTAACAAGCAGGTGTCAGACCCTCAATCAGAAATGTACACGGTGCAACTTTAAGTCTAAGCTCTACAATAATCTCCAGTTATTATTACACATTAAGTAACACACATTACATTGAGTTACATGTATTTAGTTTGTACATTACATTGACTTATATGTATTTATTATGACTTACATGAATGACTCGGTGTGTTTTCCTGCTGTGAGGAAACAGCCCACGCACTGTAAAACTCTTCTGTGTGTGTGGTTTTTTTTTACCCCGGAGCAGGTCAGACCTCCTCCACAGTGAGGAGCAGTCTCGCCTTTATTGACTTCCACTCCTACGTACATGTGGAGTACACTGCCAAAACAGATCTCAGCTCAAATACACTGTATATCTGTATCTGTATCTGTCCAGACTAAAATATTGAGCTCAAATCTTATATTATTGATTGCTTGTTTGGTTTTCTACTGTAAAACTTTGTCGCTTAAAGAAAAATAACTATATTCAAATCATGTGGAAGTCATGCTGAATTTTCTTTTGCATATTTAAGTACATGAACTTTGTCCCCTTTCCCGTTCTGAAATCACGGCGTAATAAAGAAGCAAAGCAAACAAATAATACAGAAATTATTGTTTAGAAATTGTTAATCATTTACAGAAAATTAGCTGGACAAAATTAAAATGAGTTAAGTAGGGATGGGCATTTGATTACATTTTCTTAATCGATCTTCTGGAGAATTGACAATCGATTTTTGATTAATCATTAACGTTTTTATATCAAAATTATCATCATTACTGTTACTATTACTGATCTGCATAAATAAACTCAATTTTACAACATATAAACCATAACCACTGTAGAGCCACATCAGTATGTTTGAGATGATGTGTTTAATGCAGCTTTGACACGTTTTGTTTACGTTTTACAGAGACTAAACTTAAAACCACATGGCTCATTTGCATAAACTAACTGTAAGTGCTGATAAAAAAGAGTTTTTTCCTTGTGCGCTGATGAGGTTCAGCTTCTGTCGGACTAAAGGACACAACTCAGTGGAATATGAGTGTTCTTTCTGTGACAGAGGGATGTTGATGATGGTGATGGTGAGTCTGTTCTGTGTGTGTCGCGTTGGAGATGGTTCATGTTTTCAGAGATCAGATGCGTGTATGTTTCTCGCAGCTCTTTATGTTGCAGTAACCGGGATTTTGCGTGTACATGCACCATGATGAAACCGAGATACTCAAAAATTCTGACCATACCCAGGACACTGATGTGCATGAGTGGTACAGTGTAGGGATGGGCATGATTAATCGATAATTGATCATTAAGAATTTCATCGATTACGTTCATTTTAATCGACAAACCGAATGTAGGTTGCTGTGCGTGGTGTGACCAAACAGGGTCTGTACATGTGTCTCTCTGCACTCAGAAGGAGCGAGACACAAACAGTCGGTCAGTCTGCAACGCAAATGCGTATTTAACGATGATTTGTACAAGAAATTCCACGCTTTCCGTTGCGTTCGGGACAAGTGTGAGTCCATGTGCACAGTGAACAAAGCAGCACATATGTTTCGGTGTCCAGTGGGAAAAAGTTTTGCCAGGTGAGAGTCGCTCAATGTCGATGACGAGTCCCCACCTCCCTCCCCCCGTACGCTGTCCTGGTTTTAACAAACACAAATCTGGTCACACTAACCTGTATTCACCTGAGTCGTGTCTTTTAATCCAACAGAAATTGACCGTATCAACGACACAAGAGCTGTAGTTTTATCTTCGCTGAGTTTCTGCAAATTAGCGATGCAGTTTTAAGTTTTGTTTCTGTGAGAGTTGCGCAAAACTGAATTAAACACATTATAATCTCAAACGGATTGATGTGGCTCTAGAGTCGTTACGGTTTATATGTCGTAAAGTTGAATTTATTTATGCAGATTAGTAGTGCAGATAGTAATAATAATGATGATCATTTTAATATAAACACGTTAATATGATTATCGATAATATCGATAATCGTTAATTCTTCTCGATCGATCGACGATCGATGAAATTTCATCGAATGCCCATCCCTATTTCATCGAATGCCCATCCCTAGTACAGTGTCTCCAAGGAGGTGCCAGAGCCGAAATGTGGGACAGTGAGGCCGCAGCTCAAGTGTTTACGCTGTCAGACGCAGCCTTGTCTCCTTACACTACGCTACACACAGCAACCTACATTCGGTTTGTCAATTAAAAATGAACGTGGTCGACGAAATTCTTAATGATCAGTTATTAATTAGTCGACGAATCATGCCCATCCCCAGAGTTAAGTCCTGGTTTGAATCTTTGATCCCGTTATCCTGTAGTTCTTTTGTCAGGAGTCTAGATTTATTTCTTGTTCAAATTCAGAAACATGTTTAAAGGTCCTGCATTACACAAAACTGACTCTTGTGAGTTTTAAAGCCATGTTTTAATGCTGTTACCTCCTCAAAAACAGATCTGGAGTTGTATTTTGTTTCATTCTTATCTATTATTAGTACTCTGTCTGCATGGCCAAAGCTCAAAATGCTCAGTTTCACCTTGTGATGTCATCAAACGATATAGCTGAAAACTGAAGACAGATTGCCAATTCTAGGGTTTAAATCCATCCAAATGATTCTAGTGAAGGTGTATGGAGTTTAAAAACACAGTGGAGCGGTTCCTGTATTACCACATGGCATCACAAGGTGGAACAGAGTGTTTTCCGTTTGAGAAAAGAAAAGAAAACACAACTCTAGGTATGTTTGCGACAAGGAAATGACAGTATAACGTAGATCAGAAAATAGTTGCGCCATTTTTTTGATTGGCTCTTTAAGTGCTGTGTTAGTCCGGTCTTTAGTCCAGGTGTAGTTCTGGTCCAGCTCCTGTCTCAGGCACGGTTTAGTTCAAATAAAAAGAATAAACTAACCCCTTTGTCTTCCTCTTGTCCACAGATATGGTTTAGAATGTCTGACGGTGGAGTCCAGCGCCGACACCGTGGTCCCGGCCTACAGCGAATCGCGCCGTCACTGCATTTTCCAGTCGGACCTCCTCCTCTTCAGCTGTGCGGGCGCTCACCCCACTCTGAAACGCGTCTGCCCCTGTCGCAACTACAAGAAGGGCCAGGTGGCGCTGTGCAAGGACTGTCTATAGCAGCCGGCGCAGTACCACGCTTTCACCAGGCGGGGGCGGAGCAGCTAACCGAGCAGTGTGCGTTCAGAGACACGGATTAAACACGCGCTCATATTTATTATTGTTTTTTTTTGGTTTTTCAAGCTGCTGGAAGGAAAAAGAACATTACACACAGGAAAACGGGGGCCAGTGACTGCGTTTGGACACAGGGGGGCGCTGCAGCAACATCTCACAATACTTGAATCGACACAGACTCGGTAAAAAAAACAGTGAAGTGGTTCATTTAGTGACTGCTTTTTTTTTGTTTAGGCGAAATCAAAGCCAGCGCTGCAGAGCCCTTCATCCCCCCGCCCAAGGCCCCAAGTCCAACTCCAGCTCTGTCAGTCTGAAGCTATGTTGTATATTATGGTAGGTTTGCACTGGACAGGCACAAGAAAGAGTCCGGAACCCCAGCGTACACTTGAATATCATCACAAAAAGGGCCATGTTCAACCACTGGGATTAAAATGTACCGTTGAAAGTCTGGTCAGCGTTATATTTTGTTAAACATATCGATGGTAGGAAATAAATACACTGAAAACTCGACATTTAAAGCCTCCATGTGTTATGTCGTTTCCTCGTCACAAACAGACCTGGAATTGTGTTTTGTTTCATTCACACATGTTTGAGTAACTTTTTATTATTCACAGAGGACCGAAAGTAAAAACTGGGCTGAACAAAATATTTATTGAAAAATTTCAACAACATCTGCATGTTTTCTCTTCTATCGAGATATGTAATGTTAAACCTTTTCTTATTTAAATAAATGTTTAATAATTGTTTTGCCTAAACATTGAATCCAGAACAAGCAAAATGTAAAATAATAAAAAAAAAATTTTAATAAATAATGTCTCTATAGGCGAGTTTCAGCTGATGTCATTGTTATTAAAAGCCCGCGTTGCATGCTGGGAAATATTTTGGTCAGAGGCAAGAAACACGGTAGCATCAAACACAGTGCGTAACCTCGCGTGTTTATCCCCGATAATGGTAAATTCCTGCTGCATTATCGGATGCACAAATAGAAGCACCGAAGAAGGAAAATGTCTTTTTCGTGTTCTGAGTGAAAAGAACCACTAACGGTGAATTAAACGACTTTCAAACATCCGCAGAGCAAACGTAGAAGATCCTAACAAACCGTGGACTCCAACAAGTTCAACAACACATCGAGACTCTTGGAGGTTTTCATCTTTTCTGCTGTGAATGGCCCAGGAGTTTCCACCAAGTCATTGTGGATATCGCCGAAGTGAATATTTGTCCAGGTAGTTGGCGATTCTGACCAGAAATTTGGTTTGGTCCAACTTTTGTCGGGGTTGAAAAGGGTGATTTGTCGTCCATCGATGCTTATGACCAATTTCTGGTCAAATGGTCTTGGGTCCTCTGCCGTTAGAGTGGATAAATAACCGGGATCAATACCCTTTACGTGCTTTCTCGCTCCGTCCATCATGTTGAATTAGTGTTTCTTGCCGCCGACCAAAATAATTCCCAGCATGCAACGCGCGCTTTTGTCAACAATGAAACTCGCCTATATTCTATATTTGATTTGATCTCGAGGGCCAAATGTAATTACATCACGGGTCAAATTTGGCCTGTGACGTCTGCCATCATCACAGCTCTGCCCCACACCTTCACTACTTCATTTGGATTATTATTTCAGCCCTGGACTTGTCAATCTCTACTAAACAAAAGGTAAAAAAGGAGCTGTTAACTTGAAAACTAAAGCTTCATGACATCACAAGGTGGAACAGAGCATTTTGAGCTTTGGAGATGTGACAGACTAATAATAAAGATTTACTCAGACATGTGTGAATGAAACAAAACTCAACTCCAGGTCTGTTTTTGATTTGGAAACAACATTATAACATGACTTAAAGCGTGTATTAGAGCATCTTAAAGAGTCAATTTTATGTAATTTAGAACATTTAAAGGAGCTGTATGTAGCCTGTGCTTTTACTGTTTAAAAAAGGTACTACAATCTCAACTGAGCCTGTGTTGCCAGTGTCTAAACCTGCAGATAGAAAACATATTTTGTCTCAAGTTTGTCTCATTCTTAGATTAGGGCTCAAAATGTCCAGAATTCCCTCACTGTGCTCCAGAGGCTGCACTAGCACTGATCAGTTTTTGGTGCTGGAGTTTAGAAAGTGAAGATTCAGATCAGAGACATTTTAGGTTCAAACTAACTGGATTTCAGCTTTGAAACTGGCAACGCAAATAAGAGACTCACTGTGCTTTCTGATTGGATAATTATCTTGAACCAAAACACCAAATTACAACATAAACATCTTGTCAAATGTTTTTATAACTAAGAATAAATCAGCATTAGAATTGCTACCACTAAAAGCTATATTTGATTTGAACACGTCTGCCTCATATCTGGGGTCACGGTTCAGTCATGTTTATGAAATTTATAAACAAAATCTCACACAGAGTTAATTAAGGTGGTAATTCTGAGTTACGCTGCATCTTCTCTGGTCCTCATATCTGTATTACCACCTTAATGTGAACGAGTGTCAGATTAGAAATAAATCCTACACGAGATTTGGTTCTAATCTTGGTTAAATCCTGCAAAAAACACATACTTTAGTGTAGTTTAACACGGTCTTGATTCGAAGTTTCAGAAAAATACAGACTATTAATTAATTGTAAAGTAAAAGTATTGATAATGACTGTCTAATTATGAGCGCAGAATTAGTTTTTTTTATTTAAATGTTCGATTAAATGTAGAAAATTACAAAAGAAAGCAGCTTTAAAAATGAAATTGTGTAATATTAGAACTACAGCTTACCAGTCTTACCTTAATAATAAAAAATCGTAAATTTAGAAGGGAGTAAATAAATGTTTTGAAGAGCTAAACGTTCCGAGCAGGTCCTTGTACGCTGGGGTTACGAGAACTACGAATCCGTGTCTCAATCCATGTTTTACACTGTACAAAACTTCAACAAAAGTATAGATTTTTATGGAGAAACATTTTGTGTCGATCTAGGAAAAAAAAAAAAAAGCAGATTTCCATACACCCGGATCTGATTTGCACACGTTTTAAGAGACATTTTTAAAGCTTATTTATAGCGAACGAGGAGACGCGCGACGACGCAGAAGGGCCAGTAGGGGGAGTTGGCGTTCACGTTCGCAAACATCTAGGCGTAGAAGAACAACGTAGATAGATAGATCGCTTGGCATCGTGCGTAGAGCTACAATTTTTGGGGGGATTTCTCGTGGCGTTTTTCGACAATTACGAAACCTGACACGTCTTTCGTCATTTGAACTGCAACGGGATCTACTTTGCCAACTTCGGACCACGCTACTTTTGAACTTCCTTATTTTGTCCGGATACCCTTTTTTTTTTTTTTTTTTTTTTGCCTGCAGATTTACGAAGAAATTTGTGTTCGTCGTGGTGAATGGGAAATGCACTACTACGCTAATCTAAAACTATTGGTAACACTGTATATTCATATTGGTTTGAATTTTTGTATTTATTTTGTACACAAGCCTTTATGTTTTGCTGGAAATCTGTTTTTTTATTTATAGAAGGGTTGTCTTTTTTTTTTTCTTATTTTATAAAGTTTATTTATGGAGAGTAATTTAAGGGAAAACAAAATAATGACTGTTTAAAATATCGGGCAAAGGAAGTTTATAACTGTCAGTGTTTGAGTTTGGGCAATAACGAGAGGAATCACATTCGTTTAGGAGACTATAAATATATATATGGATGTAATAGAACTGGTTTATATAGCAACTGTTGCCATGGCGATTCCAGACGCCATTTTGGGAAGGTAAGACGAGCTCATTCAAGTGATAAGTGACAAATGTTTCTTAAAATACAAGTGGAAATCACATTTAGTTAAACATTTATTGGTATAATACAACTCTAGAGTGGTTTATATAGCAACTGTTGTCATGGCGAATTCAGACGCCATCTTGGGAAGGTGATGATTAACCTAAAAAGTGGAACACATGTTAAAAATACTAATCCAAAATTGAGATTGGGTATGAGTCATAAATATATATAGGTTTAATATAACTTTAAATTGATTATATAGCCACTGTTGTTATGGCAACTCTGGATGACATTTTGGGAAGGTAAGACAAGCTCATTCAAGTGATAAGTAACAAATATTTCTTAAAATACGAGTGGAAATCACATTTAGTTAAATGTATATTGGTGTAATACAACTCTAGCAACTACTTTTATAGCAACTGTTGCCATGGCAAATCTGGACGCCATCTTGGGAAGGTAAAATAAAGTCATTCAAGTGATAATTAACCTAAAACGAGGAACTTAAAATACAAATCCTAAACTGAGATTGGGTACGAGTCATAAATATTGATAGGTATAATATAACTTTAGATATATAATAACACCTGTTGTCATGGCGACTCCGGATGCCATCTTGGGAAGGTAAAATAAGCTAATTTAAGTGATAATTAACCTAAAACTGGAACAAACGTTAACAGTCCAATCCAAAATTGAGCTTGGGTACAAGTCAAAAACATATATGGGTATAATTTAACTTTAGATTGATTTTATAGCCACTGTTGTCATGGTAACTCCGGATGACATCTTGCGAAGGTGAGATAAACTCATACAAGTGATAATTAATCTAAAAACAGAGACAGATGTTTCTTAAAATACAAATCAGACACTGAGATCAAGTAGTTGTCGTTTTCAAATCTCAAAAATTAAAAAAAGAAAATAAATGGACTTCTAGCATGGATTACAAGATTAACCCCTAGAGTTCATTTTAAAAGGTAATTTATATGTTTAGTGCCTGACTTTGGAAAATTTCTAGTAAAGAAATAACATCTCCATGGAGACAAGCAAGTTACACAGTGCACCGTTAATCTGTTTACATTATTGATAATAGTTTTTGGAGATCATATATTCTCACACATGGGGCTGTACTTGTATTTTTTGTTTAATTGGTGTATTTTACTTATTCATTATGGGACATTATGGGATTAAGGGAATTACTAAATTGAATTATACAATATTATATGTTGTTTTTCCTCTCGTTGTTGCCGTAAAATTCAACATTTACAGAATAGTCAACACCAGCTGATACTATGTGCTTTCTGGTCTCATCTCAGTTTAAAAAAATATGGGTTAGAAATATGTTTTTTTTCACAGTGTCACCTTATTTTTGTACTGTTTTTTAAGTCTCAGATCTGTCGCCAAATTTTAGTTTTTTTCAAATATCATAACGTGCCTTCTTTTTTTTTTTTTTTTACAGTCTGCTTTGTTTTTTTGTAGTTTGTGTCCAATTGAAATAGGAAAAAGTTAAGTTTGCATCATATCCAACAACGAAATGTTTTAAAATGTGAAAACTGCAGATAATAGATGATTCAAGATCCCATCCAGGTCTAAAACTGAACTAAACCAGGATTAATATCGGTCCAAATCTAAATTGGGTCTGAACCAGGTACTGAACCAGGACTATACAAAACCAAGACCAATCTGGGACTAAAACCAGGTCTAAACCAGGACTAAATCATCACAATACTTTAGATCTGATTTAGACTTGGTTAAGACCAGATTTGAGTCAAGTCCAAGTACTAAACCAGGACTAAACAAAACCAAGACCAATCTGGGACTAAAACCAGGGCTAAAATAGGTCTAAACCAGGACTAAAACGATTGCAAACCAGGACTAAGATGAGTCAAAACTAGGACTGAATCATCGCAATACCTTAGATCTAGTTTAGACTTGGTCCAGACTGGATTTTGAGTCTGGTTTAAGTACTAAAAAAGTCTAAGTACTAAACCAGGACTAAACAAAACCAAAACCAATCTGGGACTAATACCAGGACTAAGATAGGTCTAAACCAGGACTAAACCTGTAACAACATAGGTTCAAATCTAAACTGGGTCTGAACCAGGACTATACAAGACCACGACCAATCTGGAACTAAAACCAGGACTAAATCATCACAGTATTTCAGATCTGGTTTAGACTCGGATTAAACCAGACTCAAAAATCCAGTTTGGACCAAGTACTAAAAAAGTCCAAGTAGTCCAAGTACTAAACCAGGACTAAACAACACCAAGCCCAATTTGAGACTAAAACCAGGACTAAGATAGGTCTAAACAAGGATTTATATCTGGTTTAAACTTGGTCCAGATTGGATTTTGAGTCTGGTTTCACCTAAGTACTAAAAAAAAAAGTCAAGTACTAAACCAGGACTAAACAAAACCAAGACCAATCTGGGACTAAAACCAGGACTAAATCATAACAGTACCTTAGATGTGGTTTAGATTTGGTTCAGACCAGATTTTGAGTCTATTTTAGTCCAAGTAATAAACCAGGTCCAAACTGTGCCTAAACTTAAACCTGGGAGAAGAAATATCCTGAATTCAAATATTAAATTGTGCAAAAAATAATAATAATAAAAAATTAAACCACAAAATTAAAAATAGATAAATAATTATAATCTGTACTAGAGATTAGCTAAAAATAATAATTCCTCTATTATATTTTAAAGGCTCTGTACCTGATTTTTGAACTTCCGGACTGAAAAAAACAGTTTGGGACTTGTCTCCGTATGGTTCTCATCAACCGACGTCCCTGATTGGATGAAACAGTTGCTTCCATATGGTTCTCATCCAGCAAAATGCATTTTAAAATAAATTACATGCTATTTTTTCACAAATTACTGCTTTTACAAATGTTTTTTCCTCAACAAAAATAAATAAAACTCATGTAGTGGCCCTTTAATTATTCATACAACTATATTGAAAATAAATTAAGTAATATCAGTCACTTTTTTCACAAATATCTGCTTTTATGAATGTTTAAATGAAGCTAAAATAAATAAAAATCAGGTACAGACCCTTTAGTAATTTAATAATTGAACATTAGATTGCGTCAGTGTTTCCTTTTTGAGAAGATTTGTGACTTTTGGTGCATCTCTGCCTTATTATAATTTAGTTTTATTTAATTTCCAGATGAATTTCCATCACTGCACTGGTCATATCTGGTTATATTGTAAGAAAAACAAACCCTGAAGAAGTCTGTTTGTAAACTCAAGGTCATCCGGTGATGCTTTTTTCAACGTGACTCTTGTTGCATCTGTGGTGTGGTTGTATCCAAAACGGCAGACGGCAAAAGCAGTACGAGGGATATAACTTTATTTTTAAATAAACATTTTTTTCTGTGACAAAGGCTCTCTTTAACATTGTTTACATCACAGCAATACAGTTTTATATTTACACCGGTGTCTATGTGCGTCTGTGCGGAGGGAGGGGTGAGAAACCAGAGGTGAGAACGCAGATACAAGAATAACTTTTACACTCGTTTGTCCTGAAAGGTTCGATATCACACGAAAACTGACTCTCGGGAGATTTAAGTCGGGTTATAATGTTGGTACCTCGTCACAAACGGACCTGGAGTTAATTAATTTTGCATGGCTCTGGCGGAAAGCGATTGGCTAAAGGTGAGACGTGCAGACGGACACTTCAAAGCCGATTGGTCGAAGCGTCACAACAGCAGAACGAGCCCGGAAATCAAACTTTTGTTAAATCTAGAGTTACAAAAGAGCTTTGAAAAAATAAAAGCTCAATATTACGATGTTCAGTTTAATTTGTTTCCAGCGACGAGATCAGGAACAAGACCAAGGGTGTCAAACTCAAATTCACAGAGGGATGAAATTAAAAACGAGGTCTAAGTCGTGGGCCAAACCAAATATTTACTGAAAAATTTCAACAGCATCTGCGTGTTTTCTCTTCTTTTGAGATTTGTAATGTTAAACCTTTTCTTATTAAAACAGTTTTGCCTAAACACTGAATCCAGAACAAGCATAATATAAAATAATAACAAAATTTTAAACAAATAATGTCTCTATAGTCTATCTGTAGTCGGCCGGACAGCTCTAATACATATTTGATTTGATCTCGTGGTGCCACCTAGTGCCTCCGCTCAATTTCATTTCTCTCCGGCGACTAGATCAGGAATCAGAATACACTAGACGGTTCACAATAACCCCGGAAGTGCGAGTTCAGGTACCAGCCAATCAGTGAAGAGACATATATTCTGTGTTGGCAACGATTCCTGAGATCGAGGATTTAAAGCCGGAACAAAGAGAATGTTTGGTGAATTTTATCAGTGGGAAAGACGTTATTGCCCTTCTTCCTACGGGGATTTGGGGCATTACATACGTCAAGACCAAATAGCAGCGATTGGTTAAATAAAAAAAAGTACCCGCCTACCGTCAAGTGTACGAATCCTAATGCTGCGAGGTCAGACGGTTTCTACGAAGTGAAACCGTCTGATAAATCAGGCTAAAATATAATTATATCGTGGGCCAAATTTGAGTTTGACATGTCTGGTCTACATCTTCAGAGCTCAAAATGCTCTATACCACTTTGTGATGTCACTTTGTTTAGTTTTTTTTACGTTTTGATTCAGTAGAGATTGGCAATTCCAGGTCTGAAATTATCCAAATGATTCTAGTGAAGTGTGTGGAGAACTTCCTGTATCACCACATGACATCACAAGGTGGAACAGAGTGTTTTCTGTCTGAGAGAAGAACTCAGCCTAAATCTGCAGGTTTGTGTGTTAATTAAACTTGTGTGAATGAAACAAAACAAAAACTCCAGGTCTGTTTGTGACGAGGAAACGACATTAGAACAACAAACATTATAACAGCTCATCACCGTCATGATTCCACGGAAACAGAAAGTTAAAACCACACTTCGGAACATTCTCCTTGCAGATGTACATGTTTTGTGCCATACTGTGGAAGATTATAACCAAAGGATCAACACTTCCATGGAAACGAGCAGGAAGAAGCCAATACGAGTCAGGTTTGTGGAGATGCAAGCCCACTCAGTCTTTTTACCCAAATAGAAAAGAAACATCCCTTAGTTTAGTCTATTTTTTGGCTAAAAGGTTACATACTGAAGCTTTAAATGTACTGTGTCAGATTTTTTCCATGTAGTTATTTTATTTCGATCCAAGGCGAATAGTTAAGACACAATATTTTTACTTTAGCTTAACTTTTTGTACATTTTTCATCTTGTTTCACCTTCCAAAACAAATATTGGGATTTCAAGCTACTTAAAAATTCTAATTTCACAAAAAAATAAAACATTTACAAAGACTCAATCTTGACACAATACACTTTTACATTTAAATTTTTTTGTATAATTAAACAAAACCTTATGATCAACTCTGATATTTCTTCATTCCGTCACAAATTCACAAATTCTGGTTAAATTTCTCAAAAATCTTTACATTTTCACGTCTCAAACACACACATCAACTGAATTCATAATATATTATTTCACTGAATTAGACTATTTACATAAATATGCGATCATATGGTTTTGTTTCTTAAGTCTTGTAATACACAAAATTGACTCTTGTGAGCTTTAAGTCGTGTTATTTTGTAAATTCCTCAAAAACAGACCTGGACTTGTGTTTTTGTTTCATTCACGCTGTAGTTTTCATGATAACAGATCATTTTACCTTTAGTTCAGTTGATATTGGCATTTCCAGCACTGAAATTAAACCAACTACACAACTCCAGGTTTGTTTTTGACGAGGAAATAACATAATTATAACATAGATCAGAAAAGGAGAATTTAGGACTAAACCAGGACTAAACCAGGGCCTAACCTAGATCTAAACTAGGTCTAAACCAGGACTAACGTAGGACTAAACCGGAACTAAACCAAGTCTAAACTAGATCTAAATTAGATCTAAAACAGGTCTAAACCAGGTTTAAACCAGGACTAACCCAGGTCTAACCCAGATCTTAATTAGATCTAAACCAGGTCTAAACCAGGTTTAAACCAGGACTAACGTAGGACTAACCCAGGTCTAAACCAGGTCTAAACCAGGCCTAACCTAGAACTATACCGGCATTAAACCAAGTCTAAACCAGATCTAAACAGGATCTAAACCAGGTCTAAACTAAGTCTAAACCAGGACTAACCTAGGACTATACTGGGACTAAACCAAGTCTAAAGCAGATCTAAACAGAATCTAAACCAGGATTAAAATAGGACTAACCCAGGTCTAAATCAGGACTAACCTAGGATTAACCCAGGTTTAAACCAGGTCTAAACCAAGACTAAACCAGGTCTAAACCAGGACTAACCCAGATCTAAACCCAGCCATTTTTCTGAAACAAAACATAATTCTAACACAGATCAGAAAACATCATAATATTTACCTTTTTTTTTTCTTTTCTTTTTTTTGCGTCACTCACACGTGTAGTTTCTCACCCCTCGGAAATCATCTTAAAACTAAATAACTCAAGTCTGGATGTAGCTCGCTCCGTCCAGCCGTGCACTGGACCGACGTCTGACAAAAACTCAAAAAAAAAACTTGAAAATCTTTGTCGTAATCCGAGTGGTGACGCAGAAATTACATTCAAAACACTGATGAGTTAAGGCCTTGGAGTTAAGCGCGAATGAAAAAATGAGAAAATAAAAATGTGTTTGTGAAGTGCGGTAGCTTCATATATTACTGTACATTTTATTGTTTTTATATAGTTTTATTCACACACTCCCAAACTGCTTTCACTGTGTACACTATAAGAACATGCCGGTAGAAATTATTATTGATTATTACCATGACAACCGCACACAAATCGGCCCTTTCCGAGCTCCGAGGGGTAGTTTAGTTGTCAAAAAATAAGACTTAAATCGTGATGTAATGGGAACAAAATGTCTGAAAATGTTTAAAAACGTTCCCCCAGCGCGGCGTTAAATCCGTCTTATTATTATCGCCATGAGGTACAAGTTACAGTTTAGATCTACGGAGAAGCGAGCCCACGCACAGGAAGTAAAGATGCACGTGTGGAGGTTCAAGGGAAAACACTTTAAAAACTGAATGGACGCAGGATAGATGGGTTTAATGCCGTGCTGCGGGACATTACGGACAAAGGAGTAAGCAGTAGTGTCTCCATGGAAACCAGCAAGAGGCAAACCCGCTAGGAAATGTACATAGTGCAGCTTTAAGTTAATGTGTGTTTGTCAGCAGGGGGCGCTATGACGGCATCTGCTGGTGGATTGAGAATTGAAGTTGAGATCTGAACCAGGACTAAAGCGGGACTAAACTGGGACTAAACCAGGTCTAACCGAGGACAAAACCAGGACTAAACCAGGGCTAGACCAGGTCTAAACCAGGATTTACCTAGGACTAATCCTGGACTAAATTGGAGCTCAACCAGGTCTAAACCAGGACTAAACTGGGACTAAACCATGGTTAAACCTAGGTCTAAACCAGATCTAAACCAGGACTAACCTAGGACAAAACTGGGACTAAGCCAGGGCTAAACAAGGTCTAAACCAGGACTAAACCAGGACTAAACTGGGACTAAACCATGGTTAAAACTAGGTCTAAACCAGATCTAAACCAGGACTAACCTAGGACAAAACTGGGACTAAGCCAGGGCTAAACAAGGTCTAAACCAGGTCTAAACCAGGATTTACCGAGGACTAAACCAGGACTAAACCGGGTCGAAACCGAGTCGAAACCAGGACTAACCTGGGACTAATCCTGGACAAAATTGGAGGTAAACCAGGTCTAAGACAGGACTAAACTCAGTCTAAACCAGGTCTAAACCAGGACTGACCAAGGACTAATCGTGAACTAAGCCAGGTCTAAACTGGGACTAAACCAGGACTAAATCAGGCCTAAACCAGGTCTAAACAAGGTCTAAACCAGGGCTAAATCAGGTCTAAACCAGGACTAACCTAGGACTAAATCAGGCCTAAACCAGGTCTAAACCAGGACTAACGTAGGACTAAACTCGGACTAAACTCAGACTAAACCAGTGTTAAACTTAGGTCTAAACCAGGACTGATCAAGGACTAATCTTGGACTAAACCAGGCCTAAACCAGGTCTAAACAAGGCCTAAACTAGGCTTAAACCAGGTCTAAACCAGGACTAACGTAGGACTAAACTCGGACTAAACTCAGACTAGACCAGGGTTAAACAAGGTCTAAACCAGGTCTAAACCAAGACTAACCAAGGACTAATTTCAGACTAACCCAGGTCTAAACCAGGTCTAAACCAGGTCTAAACCAGGTCTAAACCCAGTCATGTGTATTAAACTAAACACAATGATGTAATGGTAGTGTTATTGTCAAAACATGGACAGCTTTAAAACAATTTCAGTGGACTTTATGGTCTTTAAAAACACGGAGGATCTTCCTGTTTTACAAAGTGCTTACATCAGCGGCGACGAGCAGCCATTTCAGCGATTAATCTATAAATATAAATACATCACACACTGGGCTCGGGTTCGTTAAACGTCTAAAATACAAACATTAAGATGAAGATTTCAGATTGTGCTTCTAGTTTATAAAGTTTAACGTTTATGTGTCGGCGAAGACTAATCGGGGAGAACGTGACGGGATTTGGAACATGCCCGGGGTTTCGTGAGGCGACGAGGCGCTAATTGAAAATACATGGAAGGTGGCGTTCGGTTCAGCTGCAGCTTCACACATATTGATTTTTGGTTTGGGCGAATGGACGAGCGTTTCCACAGACTCATACAGGAAGAACCGATGTAAACAAGAACACAGGGACCAGGACTAGACCAGGACTAGACCAGGACTAGACGGGACTAGACCGGGACTAGACCAGGACTAGACCAGGGACTAAACCAGGGCTAGACCTGGACTAGACCAGGACTAAACCAGGGCTAGACCAGGACTAGACCGGGACTAAACCAGGACTAGACCAGGACTAGACCAGGGACTAGAACCAGGACTAGGGACTAGACCAGGACTAGACCAGGACTAGACCAGGACTAGACCGGGACTAGACCAGGACTAGACCAGGACTAGACCAGGACGACTAGACCAGGACTAAACCAGGGACTAGACCTAGACGACTAACCAGGACTAGACCTAGGGACTAAACCAGGACTAGACCGGGACTAGACCAGGACTAGACCTAGGACTAGGACTAAACCAGGACTAGACCGGGACTAGACCAGGACTAAGGGACCAAGGCTAGACCAGGACTAAACCAGGACTAAACCAGGACTAAACCAGGGCTAGACCAGGACTAGACCAGGACTAACCAGGGACTAGACTAAAGACCAGGACTAGACCAGGGCTAGACCAGGACTAGACCAGGACTAAATCAGCCCTAGACCGGGGTTAAATCAGGGCTAGACCAGGACTAAACCGGGACTAGACCAGGACTAAAGCAGGGCTAAACCAGGGCTAGACCAGGGGTAATCCAGGGCTAGACCAGGACTAGACCAGGACTAAACCAGGACTAAACCAGGACTAAACTGATCTACAGTATGCCAGGGGTTAAGTAATAACAGACCAGATCTAAACCAGGGCTAGACCAAGGTTAGACCAGGAATAGACCAGGGCTAGACCAGGACTAAACCAGGATCTATATCAGAACTAAAATGATCTACTGTGTGCCAGGGACTAAACCAGGACTAGACCAGGATTAAACCAGGATGAGACTGGGATTAAACTAGTCTACACTGTGCAAGGATCTGATCCAAAACTATGCAAGAACTAAACCAGGACAAAACCAGGACTAAGCCGGGACTAGACTGGGACTAGACTGGGACTAGGCCGGGACTAGACTGGGACTAAATAAGAAATGAGTCTACAGTATGCCTGAGGGCTACATTAGGACTAAACTAGGACTAGATTGGGACTAACTCGTCTACACTGTTCAAGGAGCTGATCCAAAACTGTGCAAGGACTAAACCAGGTCTAAAGAAGGTCTAAATCATGCTATAGTAGAAGTACTTCACACCAGGGCTATACCTTGGACCATGCCGGAACTAAACCAGGACTAAACCATGTCTAAACAAGGTCTAAACCAGGTTTAAACCAGAGCTAAACCAGGACTAAACCAGGGCTGAATCAACACTATACTTGTGCCAAAGCAGGAATATACAAGGACTAAAGTAGAACTCAACCAGGTCCAAGCTTTGGCCTACTGAGGGAGGACTTGACCAGGTTTTTAAAAAGGCCCAAATCATGTCTACAGTGGGATTATTCCAGGAACTAATCTTGGACTCGAAACCAGAACTATGCAAGGATTAACCAGGACTGAAGCAGGACTAAACCAGGACTAAACCAGGTCTACACTAGGTCTAACAGAGCTATTTATAGAACTCAAGAGAAGGGGACTACATCTAAGCCAAGAGAGGTCTAAACTAGGACTAAACCAGGTTCTAATCTAAAAATAGAACTGCAAGAATTACTCAGGACTAAAGCAGGACTAAACCAGGAGAAAACCAGGTCTAAACCAGAAGTAAATCAGGTGTAAACTGGGTCTAAACCAGAACTACACCAGGTTTAAACCAAGTCTAAAGCAGGACTAAACAAGGACTAAACCAGGATTAAGCAGGTCTAAACCAGGTCTAAACCAGGTCTAAACCAGGTCCATACCAGATCTAAACCAGGTCTAAACAAGGTTTAAGGCAGATCTAAACCAGGACCAAGCCAGGTCTAAACCAGATCTAAACATGATCTAAACCAGCTCTAAACCAGGACCAAACCAGGTCTAAACCAGGACTAAACCAGGACCAAACCAGCTCTAAACCAGGACTAAACCAGGACCAAGCCAGGTCTAAACCAGATCTAAACAAGATCTAAACCAGGTCTAAACCAGGACCAAACCAGGTCTAAACCAGGACTAAACCAGGACCAAACCAGCTCTAAACCAGGACTAAACCAGGACCAAGCCAGGTCTAAACCAGATCTAAACCAGCTCTAAACCAGGACTAAACCAGGACCAAGCCAGGTCTAATCCAGGTCTAAACAAAATCTAAACCAGCTCTAAACCAGGACTAAACCAGGACCAATCCAGGTCTAAACCAGATCTAAACCAGATCTAACCCAAGACTAAACCACCAGCCTGTACCGTGTGCTTTTCCTTCCTTGTTGAAAACTAAACTACCCGTGTGAAATGTGCTTTTGTCAGTTGTAAGTTGGTTTGGTCTCACTCATATCTGAAATTATTGTCACAAGTATCAGTTTACACTAGACCCCACCAAATATTGTACTCGCAAATACATATTATTATTATTATTATTATTATCATCATCATCACTGCAAAAATACAGCTGGAGTCGAATCGTTCACAGTACAATATCGAAATATATATTGACTCTCCAAACTCTATTCACACATATGTAAACAGTTCCCTCATACGGACAGCAGATGGCGCTAGCGTGTAAGTACAACGGCGTTTACTGTTATTTACTATTCAAAGTGGATCATTCATACCAACCACGTTTTTTTTTTTTTTTTATGCTTGTAGGTGCAGCAATATTAGGACTTGTTTGATTTACGGTATTTTTTGACGATTTTTGGCATTTTATTTCGGGACAGCAGATGGCGCTAGTCTGTAAATACAATTATATTTCCTGCTGTTCTCTATTTAAAGTGGATTTTCATATGATTTTCTAAGATTTTTCATACCAACTGGTGTTTTTATGTTTGTAGGTGCAGCAATATTAGGACTTGCCTGATTTCCGTGAATTTTTGACGATTTTTGGTTTGACGATTTTTATTTCGGGACAGCAGATGGCGCTAGTGTGCTACTATAATTGTATTTTCTGTTGATCAACGTGGATCATTCACACTAACCAGTGTTTTTGTGCTTCTAAGTGCAGCAATATTAGGACTTGTCTGATTTACGGCATTTTTTTTGACGATTTTTGGGGTTTTATTTCAGGACAGCAGATCGCGCTAGCGTGTAAATATAACTGTATTTCCTATTATTTATTATTTAAGGTGGATCATTCATTCTAACCAGTGTTTTTGTGCTTCTAACTGCAGCAATATTAGGACTTGCCTGATTTCCGTACATTTTTGAAGATTTTTGGCGTCTTGTTTTGGAACAGCAGATGGTGCTAGTGTGTAAATACAATTATATTTCCTGCTGTTTTACTATTTATAGTGTTTTTCAGACGATTTTCAAAGATTTTTCATACCAGCCATTTTTTTTATGTTTGTAGGTGCAGCAATATAGGGACTTGCCTGATTTCTGTACATTTTTGACGATTTTTGTTTTGACGATTTTTCGCGTCTTATTTCAGGACAGCAGATGGCGCTAGTGTGTTTATATAATTGTATTTCCGATTGGTCAAAGTAGATCATTCACACCAACCAGTGTCTTTATATGCTTATAGTTGCAGCAATATTGGGACTTGCTTATTTTGCAGCATTTTTTGATGACTTTTGGCATATCATTTCTGGACAGCAGATGGCGCTACTGTGTAAATACAACATTTCCCACTGTTCACTATTTAAAGTGGATTTTTCACACCAACCAGTGATTTTTTTATGCTTGTGGGTGCAGCAATATTAGGATTTGCCTGATTTCTGTACATTTTTGATGATTTTTGGCATTGTATTTCAGAACAGTAGATGGCGCTAGCGTGTAAGTATAATTATATTTCCTATTATTCAAAGTGGATCATTCACACCAACCAGTGTTTTTGTGCTTCTAAGTGCAGCAATATTGGAACTTGGGCATCTTTTGACAGTTTTGGGCATTACATTTCTAGGCAGCAGATGGCGCTAGCGTGTAAGTGCAGTTACATTTCCTATTGTTTATTATTCAAAGTGGAACCGATGGGGCCTGCCTGATTTGTGGCGTTTTTTGACAATTTTCAGCGAATTTTGGCATCTTATTTCCCGTTATTTTCCAGGTTTGTGCAGCATTTTTTGGACGATTTGTGATATCTTATTTCTAGACAGCAGATGGCGCTAGTGCGTAAGTACAATTACATTTTCTATTATTTATTATTCAACGTGAATCATTCACACCAACCAATGTTTTTTTTTATGCTTATAGATGCAGCAATATTGGGACTTGCCTGATTTTTCAGCATTTTTTGGCAATTTTTGGCATTTTATTTCTAGACAGCAGGTGGCGCTAGCGTGTAAGAACAACTGTATTTCCTATTATTTATTACTCAAAGTGAATCATTCATACTAGTCAATGTTTTTTTTTATGCTTGTAGATGCAGCAGTATTGGGGCCTGCCTGATTTGTGTCGTTTTTTTGGCCATTTTCAACGATTTTTGGCATCTTATTTCGAGTTATTTTCCAGGTTTGTACAGCACTAACTATAACGGTCTACTCTAAACATTACCCATGATTCTTAGGCGGAATAGGCGTGTCCAAATTTACCGTAAAACCTACCGAAATCTGGTCAAAAACAGGGAAAACGCTAGCACGCTAATCTTGCTACATACGCTACTTGATTTGTAACACATCATAGCATAACATTGTCCTATTTGTGACGAAATTGTACATCCGAAAATACAAAATGTGCTCGATTTCTACTACGCTTTCTCGGGGTGCCCATGAAACTTCACAGTAAACTTTCAATTCTAGACTTAAATAATTCAGATAAATATTTATATACACTATTGTAAAACCAAGAGTCCTCAGTCCATTCGTTTAAATAGGAGACACTGGCTTCGCTACGCCTTACTGGCATTGTCTTTGGAAGAATAACAACAGGGACCACAAGCTGAAAATGTCCCTCTTTTTTTCCATTGGCGGCCATCTCAGATACTCCCGTTCTGCTTCGTAGCGCGGGTCGGTCACTCGAAGCGCTCGTAGTTCCTCGTTTGCCGGACGCGTGGGACCATATCCTTCAAAAGCCTAGAAGAAGAAGAAAACAAACAACAACAATATTAGGGTTACAGTCAGTGATGAAAAATACTGATATAAATCTTAAATACATTTGATAACTTTATATTTACTTAAAAACATTAATTCATTTAAATATTTTGGTGCATTACAAGGCAACTTTTTTGAAAAAAATTGAACTAGAATAGAATTAGTATCACCGAAGCAGTTAATCCAATTGGGGGTAAAGTAGTAGTAATAGTAATAGTAGTAGTAGTAATAGTAGTAGTAGTAGTAGTAGTAGTAGTAGTAGTAGTAGTAGTAGTAGTAGTAGTAATGGCAAGTAGTAATGGTAGTAGTAGTAGTAGTAGTAATGGTAGTAGTAGTAGTAATGGTCGAGTAGTAGTAGTAGTAGTAGTAGTAGTAGTAGTAGTAATGGTAGTAGTAGTAGTAGTAGTAAGTAGTAGTAGTAGTAGTAGTAGTGGCAGTAGTAGTAGTAGTAGTAATGGTAGTAGTAGTAGTAGTAATAGTAATAGTAATGGTAGTAGTAATGATAGTAGTAGTAGTAATGATAGTAGTAGTAGTAATGGTCGTAGTAGTAGTAGTAGTAGTAGTAGTAGTAGTAGTAGTAGTAGTAATGGTAGTGGTAGTAATGGTAGTAGTAATGTTAGTAGTAGTAGTAGTAGTAGTAGTAGTAGTAGTAGTAATGTTAGTAGTAGTAGTAGTGGTAGTGGTAGTAATGGTAGTAGTAATGTTAGTAGTAGTAGTAGTAGTAATGGTAGTAATGGTAGTAATGGTAGTAGTAATGTTAGTAGTAGTAGTAGTGGTAGTGGTAGTAATGGTAGTAGTAATGTTAGTAGTAGTAGTAGTAGTAGTAATGGTAGTAATGGTAGTAGTAATGTTAGTAGTAGTAGTAGTAGTAGTAGTAGTGGTAGTAATGGTAGTAGTAATGTTAGTAGTAGTAGTAGTGGTAGCAATAGTAGTGGTAGTAGTAATAGTAGTAGTAGTAATAGTAGTAGTAGTAATAGTAGTAGTAGTAATAGTTGTAGTAGTGCTAGTAGTAATAATAAAAGTAATAGCAGTAATAGTAGTAGTAGTAGTTATGGTTGTATTAATGGTATTAATAGTAATAGTATTGTAGTAGTAGTAATGGTAGTAGTAGTAGTAGTAGTAATGGTAGTAGTGGTAGCAATAGTAGTGGTAGTAGTAATAGTTGTAGTAGTAGTAGTAGTAATAATAAAAGTAATAGCAGTAATAGTAGTAGTAGTAGTTATGGTTGTATTAATGGTATTAATAGTAATAGTATAGTAGTAGTAGTAATGGTAGTAGTAGTAGTAGTAGTAATGGTAGTAGTAATGGTAGTGGTAGTAGCAGCAAAGCAGTACAAGTAGTGGTAGTAGTAGATGTAGTAACACCCGTAGCATTAGTATAGTAATAAGCAGCATTAGTAACAGTCGTAGTAGTGCACTTTGAATTACATTGTGTACAATTTGTGCTTTACAAATAAACTTGCCTTGCCTAGTAGTAGTAGTAGTAGAAGTAGTAGTAGTAGTAGTAGTGGTAGTAGTAACAGTAGCAGCAACAGAAGTAGAAGTAGACTAGAAAGAAGAAGTAGTAGTAGTAGCAGCCTCAGTATTAGTATAGTATAAGCCGTTTTAGTACTGGTAGTAGTAGTAGTAGTAGCAGCAGTAGTTTTAGTAGTAGCAGTATCACATGTTTTTGTAACTTGTGTCCATTAGCTTTTCTAAATGCTCAGTGTGTTTCAGTGTTAATCAATGAAGTGAGGCTTTACAATGGGACCAGCTCAACAATGGACTCCCCATACCAACCAGTCATGTGCATTTAAAGTGCTCATTAAAATAAACTATAAGTAAGTGTTAGTGTCATTCTCGCATTTTAAAACCACGTAGTTGCATTTCCAGAACATTACAATTTATTATCTAAAGTTTAAAGGCCCTATATTACGCAAAATGGACTCATGTGAGGTTTAAGTCATGTTAAAATGCTGTTTCCTCCACTAAAACAGACCTGGGGTTGTGTTTTGTTTCATTCACACATGTTTGAGTAATCCCGGTTTACTAATTTCTGTTCCACCTTGTGATGTCATGAAGTGGTAGTTTTCAAGTTAACATCTATATTTAATTTTGGTTCAGCACTGTAAACCCGAACGTTCAAAGTCATTAAATAGTTTATAGTCAAAGTTTTAGAAATAGTCCTACTAACTTAATTATGTCAAGCTGCTCTAACATATTCTTCTTTTTGAGTAATTTTAACTTTTTTTTTTTTTATTAAAGTGAACTATTGTGGGTATAAGTGAATGTAACTTAAAAACATAAATTAGGTACAACTTAGTAGATTGAAGTAATTAAACACTACGAATGAAACTTTATGTATATAGTACATGCTAAAATGTAATACAAAATACAAATTTCAAAGCGCTTCACCAAATAAGTGAACTTATTCCAGTGGTTTGAAAGCTCCCACTTTTACGTCATAATAAATGAAAATAATTGAGTTGCCTGGACAGAAAACTATGACTCATATTAACTCCAAATATTTGAAATGAGCACTTTTAATTCAGCTGTTATCAGAAGGTACAAGTCGCCATCTGATCTTTTAAGTTCTGGAAAATTTCGACTTTTAAGTTCAAAGAAGTTACCAGAACTTAAAATAACTGAGGCAATAGATAATTTTTTTTGAGTTCTGGTAACTTATTTGGGTTTACAGTGTGGCTGAAATGATCCAAGTGATTCTAGTGAAGGTGTATGGAGTTTAAAAACACAGTGGAGCACTTCCTGTATCACCGCGTGGCATCACAAGGTGGACCAGAGTGTTTTGTTGTTGTTTGAGAGAAGAACTCAGCCTAAATATTCAGAGTTTATGAGTTAAACATGTAAGAATGAAACAAAACACAACTCCAGGTCTGTTTGTGAAGAGGAAACAACATTATAACATACATCCTAAAATCACAACATGAGCCCTTTAATTCTTTTACTTTTAATTCTTCTACTTTGCTTCGTAACTATGGTAACTGTCTATCCTGCCAAATATGTTATGAAAAGAGGAAAATATATCATTAAAAAGTTTCAGACTGGTAAGCATAGCAACGTTTCGCAATCGTAGTGCAATATTTTAACAAGAGAAAAAAAAACTGAACTGTACCATACCTTCAGTCAAAATAAAGTGAAATTACACTAACCAGCTGTAACTTATGGTGAATTATAGATCCAGACCACAAGAGGGCGGTAATTAGCAAATGAAAATAATGTCTTTACTTATATTAAGACCCCTGAATTAAAACAAAAAGCACCAAGATAGTATAGGTTTGACACAGTAGTAGTAGTATTTGGTCTAATGTTAGTAAGTAATAGTATTCTTGGGTTTTAGTTTCTTGTTTATGGCGCCATTTTGAGGACTTTTGACGTCACCATTGCGAGATACAGGATAAGGAAACATTACTGGATTTAAAATTTAAAATGATGTCCTGTTGTGTTTTGTTAAAGTTGCACTGTGTAACTTTTTTAATAGAGGGTCTCCGTTCTGGTTGTCTCCTTGGAGATGTCACTGCGCGGTCTAGAATGTTCCACAGTATGGCTTTACTAAACTCATCGGACAAACAGGTGACGCCATCGGATCTGTGGAGAGGCAACCCCGCTCATATTCATGCTTTTCAGGGTATTTTCTTCGCACTAAAACGCCGGTAACTGAGTAAATACAAGATTAATGCCATACTGCGGAACATTCTAGACAAAGCTATGACATCTCCACAAAGGCAAGTCGATTTTGGACCACCAGAAACTTTTAAATGTGCCTTGTGTAAAGTTTGTAGTGTGCTTTTCCTTGAATGTTCCGTACTATGACATTAACGTAAATAGGAGTGTGCAAAAATATTGAAAAATGTATATATCGTATCGTTTAATGTGATGATACAGTATCGATATCGTGGGCTGCTGTATCGATATATCACCAATAGTATTTTTTGGCATATTTTATAGGGTGTCTTCTTTATGACCTCTTTTATTTACTTATTTTTCTATTTTATTTTGACTTGTACATATACGTTTCTATAATTATACCTTATCCGACACCTGTCTTTTGCTACTTATTTAGAATTTATTTTTCTTACTCTTTGTTATTATATTATCTTGTCCAAATAATTTCCCTTGTGGATCCGTAAAGTTTGTCTAAGTCTAAGGTTAAGATCTAAAACACTTGAAAACATCCTTTATAACACAGGTGTCAAACATAAGGCCCGGGGGCCAGATCCAGCCCTCCAAGACCTTTAATGTGGCCCTTGGGTGATTTTCTACTAAAATATTTTAATTATATTTTCTATTAAAATATTTGTAATTTTCTGCGGTGCTGAGCATATCAGTGTCTCCAGTGTCTCTGTACGTGGCCCCTCCCACCAGAGCAGCACAAATGAAGACTTGTCTCTTTCCAAACGCTCTTAAAGGACGATCGTTTTGACTGTTGACCGTGACACCCTCATCAGAATGTCCAACATGAGAAAAGTGGAGCCGAGTGCAGGATTTTACAACAAAAATGGACTTATTCATGTTAAAGTTCATGTTAAAACATTGTGTTGGAATTGAATTTTTCTTAAAGTTTCAGGTTGTTCATAATATTATATTATAATAAGAAAGAGTTCATCAATTAAAAAAGATTTCTGTAATAGATTTGTGTTTCTCTGCACAAATATGTGAACTTATTGTTATTTTTGTTGTTTATATGACATGAGTTTTCTGATCCGGCCCCTTTGGGATCAAAGTAGTTTGGATACGGCCCCCGGACCAAAATGAGATTGACACCCTGCTTTATAAGAATCCAGGACTCACTTGACTCCATAGGCCAGAATGACGAGCCCGATGATGACCCCTATTGTCCCGTCCAGGTACCACACTTTGGGCTCATGTTTGAAGACCTCGGCGCTGATCAGGATGGAGAAGCCCATGATGCCTCCCACCATGGAGTTAAACCCTGTGGAAAAGTGGAAAAGGGAAGAAGATATGAAGAGAGTTACTGCGACGTCACGTGACCCGAGGTGAACCGGGCATAAAAGCTGCCAGCGCTGTAGTTCAGATCTGTACAAACACGCTCTGAAATGTGATTCTCGTGTTCGTCTGTCAGGTCAGATTTCAGTCTTTTGTCAGTTCATTAGGTTTAACTTGTGAACTCTGAACAGAATCCTACTATTAAAACATAAATTGCAAATATTTTTTCCCATATTACACATTAGTCTTGGTCTTTCACGTTCTTTTATCATGATTATCCAGGTGTAATCATAAGAACTAAAATAAAATAACAAATTCAAGTCTTAAATTTCAAGTCTAAATGGAAAGAATGGGCTTTATCTGTTTGTTTAGGTTACTATTACTTCATATTTCAGAGAGTTTAATTTCACCAAACTGGTCACATACTTGAGGAATAGTGGTGTATAGTGATGTTTTGTTTCATTCATACATGTTTGAGTACCATATTTTTCGGACTATAAGTCGCACCGGACTATAAGTCACACTTTTGGGGGAAATGTATTTTATAAAATTAGAGACCGGGAACCGACATTTCATCTTGAAAGACAAGTTCTAGTAAAAACAATAGAACAGAGAACAACAGACTGTTAATGTCACATATGAACAGTTCTTCAGATAAACTATAGCATAAACAACAGAACAGAACAAGTTTAACAAACTCTCCATCTCACTCCAAATCACTAAATCCACAGAATTCTTTATCCTCGGTGTCACTTCTGAGCAACTCCATGACCTCCAGAGGTAAACGGTGCTGACTCAGCATCAGTTCCAATTAGAATTATTCCAGCCTTTCTGAATCCCGACAGGATGGTTTCGGTGTCACTGAAGTCCAGGCTTGTCGATCCATCCAGTGACTCCAGGAAAGTTTCATGTTGCATCCTCCCAGTTGCTCTGAAGCTGTGTTCTCCATCCCCGCTTTCCCCCAGTCCCTCACAAGTTTCTCGCTCAATCCACACTTTCTTTCTGCTGCTCGATTACCGTTTTCAGCTGAATATTTCACTACTTGCCACAGGACAGAGGCTCTTTCTGCAGGAGACATGTGCAGTAGAGTGAAGTGACAGTGGTACAGGAGGAACAGGAGCAGCAGAAATGACACACAAAACTAGAGCCTCTCACCGCTTCAGTGTGAAAATTTAAATATATAAGTCGCAGGAAACACCCAAACTATGAAAAAAAGTGCGACTTATAGTCCAAAAAATACAGTAATCCTGGTTTATTAGTTTCTCTACATTTCCAAAGCTCAAAAGGCTCTGTTCCACCTTGTGATGTCATGAAGATTAATGACGTTATCAGCTCCTTTTACCTTTAGTTCAGTAGAGATTGTCAATTCCAATGCTGAAATCCAAACCCAAATGATTCTAGTGAAGGTGTGTTGAGTTTAAAAACACAGTGGAGCACTTCCTGTATTACCACATGACATCACAAGGTGGAAATACGCAGAGTTTGTGAGTTAAACATGTGAGAATGAAACAAAACACAACTCCAGGTCTGTTCGTGATGAGGAAACAACATTATAACAAATCAGGAAACAGCCTAATATGGGAACTTTAAGTGAACGGTGACTGCTGCAACTTCACTTTTTTTTGTGTGATTTGCCAACAGGCTCGTGGCGTGTTCTGTGGCAATGCTGCTTGTGGGTTCCATGTGACAGAGAAAGGGGAGATTTGTAAAGGTCATCATGTTCAAATGTGATTTTCCACAATCGAGTTAAAACCAGATCATGTGAGCGTCAGGAATGTGCAGCTCCAGTGTCAGAGAGAGAGAGAGTCTGACACACATGTGACAATTACACCGCGTAACAATGGACTTTAAACCAGGACTAGACCAAGGATAAACCAGGACTAAACTAGGACTAAACTCTAGGACTAAACCAGGACTAAACTAGAGCTAAACTCTAGGACTAAACCAGGACTAAACTAGAGCTAAACTCTAGGACTAAACCAGGACTAAAGCAGGGGTAAAACAGAACTAAACCAGGACTTAACCAGGTCTAAACCAGGACTAAACTAGAGCTAAACTCTAGGACTAAACCAGGACTAAACCAGGACTAAACTAGAGCTAAACTCTAGGACTAAACCAGGACTAAACCAGGGCGAAACCAGGGCAAAACTAGAGCAAACTCTAGGACTAAATCAGGACTAAACCAGGACTAAAGCAGGGGTTAACCAGGTCTAAACCAGGACTAAACTAGAGCTAAACTTTAGGACTAAATCAAGATTAAACAAGGGCTAAACCAGGACTTAACGAGGACTAAACCAGGGCTAAATCAGGGCTAGACCAGGACTAAACCAGGACTAAACTAGGACTAAACCAGGACTAAACCAGGACTAAACCAGGACTAAACCAGGACTAAACTAGGGCTAAACCAGGACTAAACCAGGACTAAACCAGGACTAAACCAGGGCTAAACTAGGACTAAACCAGATCTAAGCCAGGTCTAAACCAGGACTAAACTAGAGCTAAACTCTAGGACTAAACCAGGACTAAACCAGGACTAAACCAGGAGTAAACCAGGACTAAACCAGGGCTAAACTAGGACTAAACCAGATCTAAGCCAGGTCTAAACCAGGACTAAACTAGAGCTAAACTCTAGGACTAAACCAGGACTAAACCAGAGCTAAACCAGAACTAAACTCTAGGACTAAACCAGGAGTAAACCAGGACTAAACCAGGGCTAAACTAGGACTAAACCAGGTCTAAACCAGGACTAAACCAGGATTAAACCAGAAATAAATCAGGGCTTAACTAGGGGTAAAACAGGACTAAAACAGGTCTAAACCAGGACTAAACCAGAACTAAACTCTAGGACTATACTAGGACTAAACATACTATACAGGCCTAAACAAGGACTGAACCTAGGACTTAACTAGGACTCAATCAGGACTAAAGTCAAACTAGAATATAAACCAGGGCTAAACCAAATGACTGAACCAGGACTGAACCAGAATTAAAAGAGGAATCAAGGAAGATACAGGACTTAACTAGGACTACACCAGGACTTGAATCAAATTAGGACTAAACCAGGATTCAATCAGGCCCAATCCACGACTAAATCAGGACTAAACCTCATATGAACTCGTGTTTTGACTGGCCCTCACATTAAACCTAATAGCGGCTCTGTCCTTATTTTAAAATTAACTCTCCAAAAGCACATTTAACAGGACACCACAAAATGAGCCACCGTTTGTGCAAATGGGAAAATAAGGAAATGAGTTTGTGATGAAGTGCGATTTTTATGCACAGACTAGTTAATCCAGCTCACACCAAAACACCACCAGAGAAGAGGAGTTAAGAACGTAATTAGAAACTCATACAGAACACACTTGACACGATATTTGTCTTCAGATTTGTTTTAGGCAAGAGAAAAAGTCTGTATAAAAAATTAAAGGGCCCATGTTAGGCTATTTTTTTGATCTATGTTATAATGTTGTCTAAGATTTTAACACTCACTCCCTCAAGCCCAGCACCTGCTCCAGTCCTGATTTACAAAAACAGTGGACATGAACATAGTTTAAGTATAATTTTGTGTTTTTGGTTCTCAAGACGGTTATCCAAACATTCTCTCATTTGGGTTGTCAGTTTCAAGGCTGAAATCCACTTGGTTTAAGACTACATTTATATGATGACGGTTTGAACAGAAGACGCAAAAGTGTCGTCGCGTCTTCAGTTTTTATTCCGCGTTTAGACAAGCGTTTTCAGGAGGAAATCTGCGCGCATACGGTGACGCAAAAGTGTGTGGAATTTGACTGGGTATGCTTGTGCTTAAAGCAACAAGGGCATCTTTGGACATACGGAAGTTTTCATGCCACGGATTTTCATCAGCTACTCCTTCCACAAAGTTGTCCCACCATCGACTGGTTCTCCAGGTCTCGTCCATAGTCGTCTGTCTCGCCTGCGACGACCTGGTGCGTCCAGAATTTGACAGAGGTGATTGCAGATCCTTCTCTGTTCACTAATAGTATCTCTGCAGATTCTGAACATTTGTTGGGATGCCTCTTGTAAGTTTATAAGATTGAAGGTCCAACGCGTGGAAATTATCCCACGTGTTTGTTTCTGTGTACTGTATGTATGAGACGTAAACGTGTACGCGACGTGAGCAGACTTTGACCAGAGTTTTGCGTCTTGGGCAGTGTAGACAGAAACGCTACGAAACGCGTATTCAACTTTTCTACGCTGGAGGGTGGTTTCAGATTTTTGCGTTTTTAAGCCCCGAAAACGCCATCACCGTCTGAACGAAAGGCACTTCTGATAAAATATTTTGTCGTTTTTACCCGCAAGTATTTTCATGTAAACAGGTCCTACAGGAAATTCCATAAATATGACCTATATTAAGTTAAGGTTCAAATCAAATATAGCTTTTATGGATAACAGCTGTAATGCTGATTTGGCCTAAATTAGGGTGACCATATTTCTGTTTGTGAAAACGCAGACACCTTACCGGGTTTGGGGGGTTGGACCTCGACATTGAGCTACTCTCACCTCGCAGCCTGTGCACATGGCCTCCCACTTGTCTCGACCGGGACGGAAAACGGAGAATTTCTTGTACAAGTCATCGTTGAATGCGCATTTACGCTTCGGCATGTTGCAGACTGACCAACTGTCTGTGTCTGCTCGCTCCTTCTGAGTGCACAGAGAGCTACGAGAGCCACTCAATTTAATGGCCCCAATGAAAGGTAATGAAAACCCGGACATTTGCATCACAAACCTGGACGCCCAGGACAGGACGCAAAAAACGGACATGTCTGGAGAAAAACGGACGTTTGGTCACCCCAGCCTAAATTACAAAAACAGTGGGCATGATCACCACGTGTAATTTAGTGTTTTTGGTTCTCAAGAGGTTATCCAATCATTCTCTCATTTGGGTTGCCATTTATAAAGCTGAAATCCAGTTGGTTTAAACCTAAAAGCCTCTCTCTGATCTGAATGGTCATATAAATCTGAGCACTTGCAGACAATCATGCGTCAGAGCAGAGAATGAGAGAAACTTGTCTGTGTACCTCTATCTTCAGGTTCAGTCGCTGTAGTTTCTTTACAGTAAAATCTCAGCCTATTTTTAAATGTATTTGTTTGTGGATGTAGTTTCCAGACAGCTGAGTGCGGTTTGGAGACAGACTCACCATCAGTGATCAGGGCTCTGCTCGTCAGGACTTTTCCGAGCATGAACTTGATGACGGCCAAGAATGACGCAGAGGAGCCCACTGACGATGGACACGCTGAAGAGGAAGTCGTCCTGGAGACACAAAAAACACAAGAAACACGGTAAAGACGAGTTGTTTATATAAGTTACGACATTACAACATGGCAACACACGTCTGATAAGATAAGATTATGTGTGTATGTGAAGTTCACTAGGTCACTGGAGACTATAGACTGTATATAAATGGACAACGAGGAGTAAACCAGGACTAAACCAGGAATAAGTGGGGCTAAACTCTAGGACTAAACCAGGGCTAAACTCTAGGACTGAACCAGGACTGAACCAGAACTAAACCAAGAATAAACCAGGGCTAAACCAGGACTAGACTAAGGCTAAACCAGGACTATACGAGGAATAAACCATTTCTAAACCAGGAATAACTAGGACTAAACCAGGACTAAACCAGGACTAAACCAGGGCTAAACCAGGAGTAAACCAGGAAAAACTGGGGCTAAACTCTAGGACTCTAGGACTAGGACTGAACCAGGACTGAATCAGAACTAGACCAGTGCTAAACCAGGACTAAACTAGTGCTAAACCAGGACTAAACCAGGGCTAAACCAGGAGTAAACCAGGAATAACTAGAGCTAAACTCTAGGACTAAACCAGGACTAAACCAGGGCTAAACTCTAGGAAGTAAAGGCTAAACCAGGACTATACAAGGACTAAACCAGGACTGAACCAAGACTAAACCAGGAGTAAACCAGGAGTGAACCAGGGTTAAACCAGAACTAGACCAGGATTAAACCAGGTTTAGACCAGGGCTAAACCAGGACTATACGTGGACTGAATCAGGACTAAACCAGAACTAAACCAAGACTAGATCTTCTGTAAGGATATAACATTGCAGTTCTAGGAAGTAGGTCTGAAATATTTAACATTATAAATAAGAATGTGTTTTTAATATTTCAATTTGAATGGAGTAAATGATTCAAGTTCATTTTCCGTCTTCTCGCAAATGTTATTGACACTGGACGTAAATAAAACATTAAACAAAAAACCAAAGCACTGATCTAATCACAACGACAGTACTTCCAAATACGTCAGAAAGATATTTTTCCCAAACTGTTCAGCGCTAACAATTAGTATGAGTTGTAGTTAGCATGTTAAATAATAATTTTTACTTCAGTTCACTAACTTAACTACTGACAAATATGTGTGAAGTCTATTTAAAGATTTTACAAGCAACTTCACAAGTGCAAAACAAAAATGCAAATGTTAACTACCCCTTGAACGAATAAATCAAAAACTAAACGTACAAATGCTAACTACTCATACTCCTTTTATAGTTTTACTCCGAAACAATAAACCAAAAGCTAAACTATTGTTGTTATCTTCGAGTTTGACCTTTCTATACGTCATATAACTCATAAACTCTCATGACGGGTTCTTGTGGCTCTCAGAATGTTCTAATGCACGTCCATCGATTCCTCGTTTATGTACTCGCGGCTAAATGCTAACGCTAACGCTAGTCCTGACGTCTGAAACAGAACGAGAAGATCCAAGAAATAAACCAGGACTAAACAAGAACTGAATCAGGACTAGACCAGGATTAAACCAGGACTAAACAAAGTCTAAAGCAGGACTAAACAAGGACTAAATCAGGACTATATTAAACCTAAACAAGGACTATACCAGGATTAAACCACGACTAAACTAGAACTAAAGTAGGTCTAAAGCAGGACTAAACCAGAACTAAATCAGGACTATATTAAAACTAAACAAGGACGATACCAGGATTAAACCAGAACTTAACAAGAACTGAATCAGGACTATATTAGAACTAAACCAGGACTAAACCAGGAGTATGATAGGACTAAACCAGGACTACTAAATTAAGGACTAAATCAGGAACTAAATTAGAATCAAACCAGGACTAAACCAGGAGTACAATAGAACTAAACCAAGACTGAAACAGGACTAAATTAGAACTAAGCCAGGATTAAACCAGGACTAAACAAGGACTAAACCACGAGTATGATAGGACTAAATTAGGACTAAATCAGGACTAAATTAAAATTAAACCAGCAGTAAATCCAGGATGAAATTAGGATTAAACTAGGACTAAACCAGGACTAAATAAGAATTTAACCAGGACTAAACCAGAAGTACAATAGGACTAAACCAGCACTAAATTAGGACTAAACCAACACTAAATTAGAATTAAACCAGGATTAAACCAGGACTAAACAAGGACTTAACCAGCAATAAATTAGGACTAAATAATAATTAAACCACAAGTACATCCAGGACTAAATTAGGATTAAACTAGGACTAAACCAGGACTAAATAAGAACGAAACCAGGATTTTAAGACCCTTTTTTCCCCAAAAAATGTGTCTTTTCCCCAGTACAGTTTTGTGTAAGCAGCTCCTGAAGTCAAAATAGTCCACTGTGTACTGTTTGTATCTAATTGTAAAGCATTTTTTTTTATCATTTGAGAATCAGGAAGTGAGCTATTAGCATACTAGTTGTTGCTGACATCGCTCTGGCCTTTGTAACATTGTAAAAATCACTCATAAACTCATCTCTGTGAATAATTAGGACACTCTGAATGCACAAAAGTAAACGAGGAATAACTTTGGACCACTGCAAACGGTGTAAAATGAACTTTTTCACATTTTTAAGACACAAAAAATCAGGTACAGGTGCTTTTTTATTCAGCACAAAGTCTAAAAATTTAAAGTATAAACATAAAACGCTCTTTCTATTGACCCCCCCAAAACCTGCATACTTCACACAACTCCTAAAACCATCATTATGTGTGCGTGCGGCTCTCACAATGCGCTGTAATGCATATCGATTCCTCATTTGATTTCCTGGAGACTAAATGCTAACGCTACAGTAGTCCAGCGCGTGTGGAGCAGGTGGGACCAGAGCACTCAGACTCTGCAGCTACATAAATATTACATAAAGGCCTCGGAGTCTCGAAAAGCTGCTTTCAAGTGACGGCAAGCCAAGTCCACTCACTCAGCCGGGGGAGCGTTTATACGGAAACACGAGGTTGTACTCCAGATAATACCACGACTTCATAATTACAAAACAAAACATTACCTATTTATGATTAGTTTTCGCTACGTCGTTTGCATTTCAAAGGGAATAATAATGACTTATGTAACGTCTTTGGAGCTGCGGTATAGATGGGTTCATTTACATAACAGAGCAGCCTTGGCCCTAATAAAACAGAAATTATATCGACTTAGAATTTCTATCAGTGAAGTAAAAAATTGGACCAAATGCAACATAACTGACTCGTTTAACCGAATTTATGTAAAAATATTTGTAGTAACATCTCTTCATATTGTCTGGAGATGTTTCGCATATTTTTTCAAAAGTCACCATATTTTCAAAAGACCCAAAGTCAATAGACATTATTCGGAATAAATTTGTGATCATTATTGAACATTAATGAGGATATTTTATTGTTGACTGAGTAATCGTGTGAACAATTAATATTACCGTATTTTTCGGACTCTAAAGCGCACTGGATTATAAGGCGCATTAAACAAAACAAACGGACTACACTGGAGACTTGAGACTTTTTTATTTTTCTATGAGAAGCACTCAAATATACATTGAGTAAAATTGTGTTTAATGCACCTTTGCGCACATTGGTTTACGTTTTACAGAAGCAAAACTTAAAACCACATGTCTCATTTGCATAAACTATAAGCAATAATTGAAAAAAAAAACAGCTGATGCGGTTCAGCTTCTGTCTGACTAAAGAACACGACTCTGTGGAATATGTGTGAAAATCAGTTCAAGGTCAGTAAGCACAACCATTATTAATACATAAGGTGCACTGGATTATAAGGCGCACTGTTGATTTTTCTGAAAATTAATGGATTTTAAGTGCGCCTTATAGGCCGAAAAATACGGTACTCAAGTTTTAAACAAGGAAAAACAGTAATCAGTGTTTCCAACAGAAAATTGGTTAGGCAAGGTAGTGCTGCTGTGAAATAAGGAGATTCCATGCACGGAGAAGTAGTAAGGAGCGGGGGTATGCGGAGATGTATGTATATGCACACTGCAGACCTGCATGCAGATCGAGACAAGGCGACCCAGTCTTTGGAAAACAATGGTCTACAGGGTTAAATAGAACTTGCAGTTTAGAAGATATGAACACTGAGTCTACTAAGGTTGTCAAAAATATCAAAAATCAGATGCTAAAACTAGTATTGAAACTAGATAATGGTTTGAGCACGTATTTATTAAAAAGTCACATTCACAGGACAAAAAAAAAACCTTTCCTGAATCTCTTTAGAATGATCTTGAGCTGTATCAGAACAAGAATAAGAGCATAGACTAGTATACGCCCACGGACCACTATGGAACCTGCCTCAGCCACGGAAGGATTACACAGATATAAGACCACATGGGAATAGAAAAGAAAGTACTGCAATGTTGAAAAGGACATTCTATTGTCTAAAGAAAAAGAAAAAGTGTTTTTTTATTATCATTGTGGTATCGGAATCGGTTCTGAGTATCGAGTCTGTTCCTTTGTGTCGAAAAAATTGTTGTCTTTATATTTTGTTATAAGGTACAACAATAAATCTTTATTATTTGTAAAGCACTTTTAAAAACAAGATTTACAAAGTGCTCTACACGCAGCAAAGAACAATAAAAACAGCATCCAGAAAGCAAACAAAATCAGACAGACAATGAAGCAATCAATTTAATTAATTATAGAGAGGATAGAAATGAAGTGAATGAATGAATAAGAAGTGATTTAGAAGATGATACTGATGGTGTGAGCCTCATCTCCTCAGACAGGTCATTCTGAAGCCGAAGCGCCCGGACCAAGAAGGCGCGATCAGCCTTCACCCGGAGCTTTTGGACTTTAGGACAGCGAACAGGGACCTGCCTGAGGATCTAAGGGCCTGTCTACACAAGAATGCTTGCGGGTCATCCTGCCTCCACTGGTAAGAAGGCAGCGCCAAAAAAACAGTTTAAATCAGCTGATTGGACACGTCACAGCAACATCACGTGACTCTGAGGAAGAAACTGTCAGGTATGAAACAAAACTCTAGGTCT